GTCACGATCTCACGGTCCGTGAGTTCGAGCCCCGCGTCGGGCTCTGGGCTGATGGCTCAGAGCCTGGAGCCTGCTTCCGATTCTGTGTCTCCCTCTCTCTCTGCCCCTCCCCTGTTCATGCTCTGTCTCTCTCTGTCTCAAAAATAAAATAAAAACGTTAAAAAAAAATAATAATAAAATTTAAAAAAATAAAATAAAATTGCCAATCCATGGGGTGCCTGGGTGGCTCAGTCAGTTAAGCATCTAACTCTGGATCTCAGCTCAGGTTATGATCTCACAGTTTGTGGGTTTGAGCCCCACACTGGTCTCTGTGCTGACAGTTCAGAGCCTGGGAGCCTACTTCAAATTCTGTGTGTGTGTCTCTCTCTGCCCCCCACCCCCACCCCACTTGTGCACGTGCCCTCTCTCTCTCTCTCTCTCTCTCAAAAACAAATACGTAAACATTTAAAAATAAATAAGTAAAATTGCCAATCCATGACTGAAATAAAGAATTCATTTAACTGGACTATTGATATAAATAGCTCCATTCCCTCACCACTGTCACCTGAAGTTACTTTTTACAACCTTGTATGTGAAGTTCTGCACCGGGGCTGAGGGACAATTCCTTTAGGTAGCAAATCAAACGAGGTAGCAGTAGGAAGACAGGAAGCCGTGTTTTTCTCTGTTGGTCATAAGCTGTTCCTCCTACTCTTAACTATTGCTGCCTCTCCTTTCCCCTCCCCCGTTTTTAGTCAAAGACCTCCGTACCTGTGGGCTCCTTTTTCTCCCTGCTGACCAGTGAGCAAGTGGCGAAGCAGTTCCCAGTGATGACTGAGGCCATAACTCAAATTCGGGCAAAAGGCCTTCGGACTGCAGTCTTGAGCAATAATTTTTATCTTCCCAACGGGAAAAGCTTTTTGCCCCTGGACCGGAAACAGTTTGATGTGGTAAGCTTGAAGTAATCCAAAACTATCGAAACAGAGTCTCTGTCCTTGCTTTAGGATGCATCATTAAACACTGCCTCGTAGCAGGTCTTGAGTGAATGGGTTTCCTTAGTCAGTCTCACTTGACTAAATTAGACTTAGACCTAACAGGATGAAAAGAGGACTTCTAAAACATCTCTGAGCTCTCAGCAAGGTCCAGCATTTATGGTCTTTGATAACTGGTTGAAACCTCAGCTTTAGAGACTCTTTCATGTTCTGGGTTTGAACCTTATTCGTCACATAACTCACAAACTTCCGTCAGCCCTCACATCTAAAGGGACCTTTGACCTTATCTCTTCAAAGACCAACCATGTTGGGGTGTCTAGGTGGCTCAGTCAGTAGAGTGTACAACTCTTGATCCCAGGATCGTGAGTTTGAGTCCCAGATTGGGTGTAGAGATAACTTAAGTAAATATTTATTAAAAAGAAAAAAAAAAAGACCAGTGATGTTGCCCTTTATTTCTGTGGCATTAATCCTGAGACCAGTGCTATCCAATAAAACTTACTGCAGTAATGGAAATGTCCAATATGGTTGTTTCTAGTCACATATGGCTATTAAGCCCTTGAAATGTGGCTGGTGTCACTAACAACTGAATTTTATTTCATTTTTATTAGTTTAAATGTAAGTAATCACATATGGCTGGTGGTTACTATATTGAATCGCCCAATGCTAGACCATCAAACTGCCCTGAGAACATACTGAGTGAAAGATGGTCTTCTGTGCCAGGAGGTTACTCCTATAAACGATTCCCCATTTCCCCAAGAGAGAAATAGATTATCATCCTGGGACAGATACGAATTATTCGTAGCTGACTTGCTTAAACTTCAGTTAGAAAGTAGATTCTTTTTTTTTTTTTTTTAAATTTTTTTTTTCAATGTTTATTTATTTTATTTTTGGGACAGAGAGAGACAGAGCATGAACGGGGGAGGGGCAGAGAGAGAGAGGGAGACACAGAATCGGAAACAGGCTCCAGGCTCTGAGCCATCAGCCCAGAGCCCGACGCGGGGCTTGAACCCCCGGACCGCGAGATCGTGACCTGGCTGAAGTCGGCCACTTAACCGACTGCGCCACCCAGGCGCCCCAGAAAGTAGATTCTTACTGAGCAGTTACTGCGCGCTGGCCACTGACTACACGTGAAGGGATACTGTGGCAAATGTGACAGACACGGTCCTTGCCCCACAGAGTACGCACCTGCTACATTTCAGGTGCTCACTCACCACGTGCGGCTAGTGGCTACTATACTGGACAGCATATACAGCGTTTCCATCATTCTGAAAAGTTCTATTGGATAGTGCTATTTTAGAACATAAAATCTAGTAAAATTGACAGGTGGAAATTCAGAGGGCAAATGTTGGAAATGAACCTCTCAGCCTAGTGCTGTTTTCACCTCCCACGTCCTCCTTCCTTCCTATAGAAAGCCTGTCAGAGATAGAGTCCTGTCCCCTCTGTACACCTTGTCTAGCTCCCCACCTGCTTTGATTGTTGTTTTCCCCGTGGGACACAAACAGCGCTCTTCCAAGCCCCCTCCCCTCCGAGTGCTCCGGGACTTCAGCCAGATTCAATCCTGTCTCTGCAGCTTGCTAGCCAGGTGATCACGGGCGGTGGCTTTGCTTCCTTGAACCTCAGTTTCTTCCTCTTTAATTCAGGAATAGCAATTTCTTTGTTGTAGGGTCGCTGCGTGCATCCCACAGAATTATGCATGCAAAGCTCTCTGCATGGTCCTGGCACATGGTCAGTATTCAGTACGTTTTGGTTATTTTCAGAGTGCAGTGCAGCTATAGGAATGATATCTTCATCTAGACAAATTAAATTGTCCAGGCTCACGTTCAGCCCTTCAAATGAAGCTACAATTTAAAAGACCTATGAGTTTCTTTAAAAAAAAAAAAAAAAATGGACTTGTTTATTCAGACTTCACAGGCATTTTGGCATGTGCTTTCCAGGAGTTTTCTGATGGGTTTTCGTATTTTAGGTCTGCAGAAGACCTGGAGTTTTAAAAACATTTCATCAAGGGCAAGGGTTTAGATTTTTGTTCTCTAAAGCACACGCGCGCACACATACATAGATGTTTTGATAGAATAAAGATAGTGTAAGCAATCTGTGATCTCTGTCAACATTAGAGGCTGAACTCTTTTTTTTTTTTTTTTTAATTTTTTTTTTTTCCAACGTTTTTATTTTTATTTTTGGGACAGAGAGAGACAGAGCATGAACGGGGGAGGGGCAGAGAGAGAGGGAGACACAGAATCAGAAACAGGCTCCAGGCTCTGAGCCATCAGCCCAGAGCCCGACGCGGGGCTCGAACTCACGGACCGCGAGATCGTGACCTGGCTGAAGTCGGACGCTTAACCGACTGCGCCACCCAGGCGCCCCTAGAGGCTGAACTCTTAAACCAGTATTATAGGAATCTGTCTTGGCTTCAAATGTTTTTCCATCTAATTTTTTTCAATTAAAAATATTTTTACATTTTTTTATTATAAAAACCCACATAACATAAAAGTTACCATCGTAACCATGTTTAAAGTGTTCAGTTCAGTAGCGTTAAGTATATTCACATTGTTAAGAACTACATCTCCAGGACTTTTTCAACTTGCAAAATAGAACAGAAAGAGAAGGCCAGGGATCTTATCAAACTTAAATCTGGAGAATTTTTTCACTTCCCCAATACAGTGACCCTCAACATAGTCCCTCAGGAGAGATGCCTGCTTGTGAGAACTTGACTCACTGGGCTCACCACCCCCTCTGTCTGTCTCAGCCAGCACAGCTGTGTTGTTCTCCCGCAGTGTGGACACTGGTCTGTGTCTGAAACACCCAGTTTCTCTGGTACCCACTACTGATGTTTTCTTTACACGGAGCTTTGTCTTTTTTAGTTCATTCGGCTCCTTAAGAGACAGGGAAGATTAAATAGAGTGGTCCAATTTATTTAGGATATTTATTTTCCTGAAAGGGCAGTTCTCACCCAACCCTGAATAATGCAAATGTAGAGTAGAGGGAGGGGTTTGTCCTTGGTTTTGGAGAGCCTGAGTCCTTCCTGGAGTGAGCATGGATTGAGTTCTATTCTCAGGGCAGACCAGAGGGTGTCAGTTATAAGCTTCTGTGGCTGTTTTAGGCCCACTTTATAGGAGATTAAGCCCTGGGGACAGTGTAAGAGGACCTGCAGGTTGATGGATCAGAGGTTGCCTGGCACTGGGTCCGGTTTTGCAGGGTTTCATCTGGACCCTCTGAAGCATACCCACCCCCCACCCTCCGCCCCCCACTGCATTTCCAGACCAGATACACAGTGGAAGTGAGGTTGTCAGGACACAGGAAGCTCTTTGCGTGAAAGGAACAGTACTTTGCCATGAACAGTCTCTTTGGGGTCTGTTCTCCCATGGGATTTATATAAGTTGAGGATGGCTGTTTTGCTTTTTAATTTCTGAAATACAGACATTAAGGTCATGTGCCTTTTGTAGTTAGTAAACAGTGCTGCCTTCTTTTTAAAAAAAAAATTTTTTTTTAATGTTTATTTTTGAGAGAGGGAGAGAGAGAGCACGAGCTGGGGATGGGCAGAGAGGGAGACAGAGGATCCAAAGTAGGATCTGCACCGACAGCAGAGAGCCCGATGTGGGGCTCAAACCCACGAACCAACCATGAGATCATGACTTGAGCCGAAGTCGGGCACTCAACTGACTGAGCCACCCAGGTGCCCCTCCCTTCTTTCTGAAAAAATGGCGAAGTAGAAATCTACAGCTCTTCTGTGTAGCCACAATATTTAACATTAGCAAAATGCTAACATCATTTTGGAACCACTCAACTTTCATTTAATGTTCTCAACAACCGCTAAGATAGGTAAGATAGCTATTAGCATCCCCACTTTGCCGATGATGACATTGAGGCCCATTGTGGCTTCGCTGTGTGTGCAAGGTCGCTGTTTCTGAACCAGAACTTTGGTTTTCTGAGCTTGCCCCCAGCTAGTAACCCAGTATTACCATATCTCCAACTTTAAAAAGCAACATCATTTTATATCATAACACTCTGAAGTTACTTATTATAACAAATCTCAACGGTCTTCCTATTATTCTTTTAAAAAATATGCCAGTATGCATGTGGGAGCACCACCTTTTAGGGACACTCATCTCTCATCCCCGTCCCTCGCTCAGGTCGTGGAGTCCTGCCTAGAAGGTGTCTGTAAGCCAGACCCCAGGATATACAAGCTGTGCTTGGAGCGGCTTGGCCTGCCGCCTTCTGAGTCCATCTTTCTTGATGATCTTGGACCGAATCTAAAAGCGGCTGCCAGCCTTGGCATTCACACCATAAAGGTAATGATCACTATTTTTTGAACCCCTGCTGTGCTCTAGGCACTAGCATAAGCATTTCTAAGCTTGTCCTGTTAACAATCATAGTTGTGTTTAGTGGTTTTCCACCATGTTGCTATGGTCTTCTTTTTTATTAATTTTAGGACATTTACATGACGAGCCACTCTATTTTTTTTTTTCAACGTTTATTTATTTTTTTGGGGGGACAGAGAGAGACAGAGCATGAACGGGGGAGGGGCAGAGAGAGAGGGAGACACAGAATCGGAAACAGGCTCCAGGCTCCGAGCCATCAGCCCAGAGCCCGATGCGGGGCTCGAACTCACGGACCGCGAGATCGCGACCTGGCTGAAGTCGGACGCTCAACCGACTGCGCCACCCAGGCGCCCCGAGCCACTCTATTTTTGAAAGGAAGTAAGACAGACACTAAGAAGGCAGTTTGAGAAAAGAATTGTGCAAGGAGGTGAATGGCAGGCTTAAGACATTTGGGATGGCAGCTAGGCTGTCCCTGTGACACCGTTCTGGGTAGGGAGCCGGCAGCTACCAGCCACCCGGACCGCCCAGGTCATGGCTGTGAAGCACAAGAAGCCACCTGAGAGGACGTCTCTGTCCAGCTTCCTGTGTTTGGGTTTCCATTATGAAGCTGATGGGCCATAGGGACAGGGTTGATGCTGCAGCATAGTATCATGCCCTCCTGGCATGAAGGAGCACCGTGGACTCTTAACTGGCACTCTTCCCAGCCAATAAGAAAGTTTAGTGTGGTTAAGAATTAAATGAGAAGAGCAAAGTCTTTATACAGCTTCCTCATTAGCTGAATATCTTGGCCTCCAAAGTCCTTGCTCAGAAACGTGACTTCTTGGATATTTTCCTCTAAAAAACTGCCCTTTTAGGGGCGCCTGGGTGGCGCAGTCGGTTAAGCGTCCGACTTCAGCCAGGTCACGATCTCGCGGTCCGTGAGTTCGAGCCCCGCATCGGGCTCTGGGCTGATGGCTCAGAGCCTGGAGCCTGCTTCCCATTCTGTGTCTCCCTCTCTCTCTGCCCCTTCCCCGTTCATGCTCTGTCTCTCTCTGTCCCAAAAATAAAAAACGTTGAAAAAAAAATTTTTTTTAAATAAAAAATAAAAAAATAAAAATAAAAAACTGCCCTTTTAGAGAACAGACAGGAGGCCAGGTCAGGGTTGACTGGTGGTACATGTTCAGTCTTCTCTTTGAAACCAGGTTGATGACCCAGAAACTGCAGTAAAGGAATTAGAAACCCGTTTGGGTTTTACGTTGAGAATGGTTGTTCCAAACACTTGCCCCATGAGAAAGACAATGGACATTCCACGAGGTTCCTTGGAGAAGTACCTTAAAGACTTACTGGGGACCCAAAGCACAGGTATTTAAATTTCTGCTTTTTGCCAACTCTTTCAAGGCTAGGCCTTCAGTCTGGTTCTCACTTTCAAACCCTAGTGGAATATGCTGGAGACAGAGGCTGTGTGGTGAGGAAAACAGCCATGGAGCTCAGTGGATCTGAGTGCAGCTTTCAGTTTTGCTTGGGGAAAAGCATGAACCCCAAAAGTACACTCACCCTCTCTTCCACCCGAGAGTGTGGTGTGGCAGGGATCGCCTGGGATCTGGAGACTGTGTACGTGCCCAGGGGTGTTTGAGTGTGTCTAAATGTTTTGAGATGACAGCCTGTTTTGTGGAGGTGATTTAAGAAGCTGCATAAATTTACAGTGTGACAAGTTGTCTCCATCTCTTCAAAGGCCCCTCTTTGATTCTTCATATTCCTCTCTCAGAAAAATAGGTGCCTCGGGGGCCTTGGAAGACATTTCCACCTGGTGATAAGGTTTTGCCTCGCCCATTTAACCCTTGAAGACTTTTTGCGTGGAGCTCCACTTATGTTTTCCAGAGATTGGATTGTTCTTAGGGCCTCTGCAAAGCTGAGGGGTCCCTTCTGAGCAGGCCAGCTCCAGCTAACTCAGGCAAATGCCAGTTTCTTGCTCTTCTGACCATGTGAAACGAATCTGTGTCCAGAGTTCAGTCTTGTTATGAAGCTGAAGGTTAATTAGGATGTTCCTGAGCGGGAGCCACGGATTTGAGCCCCTTGGGGTGGGAGAGAGCATCTCAGGGAAGCACTCAGCTCAAGCTACAGGCCTCCGCGGAAGCTCCTCCCAGCCGTCACGCCAGTCTCAGGTGTGGTTTGGCCGAGTGTGGACTGAGGGATGCACAAGGGCGCTTTTCATCCTCAGGCTTAAAGCATTCCATTTTAGCATGGTGGGTTGCCATGACCGTGCTTGTGGTTGATAAACAGAACTGAAAAGCTTTTCTTCGTGGAGCGGGAGTTGGCAAGAAGGACAAAACTGGACACCTGCACAAAGTGAAGATGATTGTGGTGTAAATGGAGTGGCCTTTGCCACACTGTAGTGGATCTGGGCTGGCACAGTAGGCCTGGGGCTCCGTCACTTCTGGTGCCCAAGTCGGAGGTGCATCCCTAATCAGAATGTCCTGCATCCCAAATGAGGTACTTGTTAGAGAGCAGGAATGCCCAGCTCTATCCTTCCGAACTACTGTCGTTATCTTTGTTTTCAAACTTGCAGGCCCATTGGAACTCCTTCAGTTTGATCTTGGGCAGTCAAATCCAACCTACTACATCAGGCTAGCTAACCACCAGCTGGTTCTGCGGAAGAAGCCCCCGGGGACACTCCTTCCATCCTCCCATGCAGTGGAGAGGGAGTTCAGGTAACTTCTCAGAGCTGGGGTGTGCTCCCCTCCATCCTCCGCAGCTCAGCCCTGAGCTGACAAGTCAGCTCTCCATCAGACTGCCTTGAGACGTTTAATGTATGTATGCATGTATGAATTTCCAAAATTATCTCAAATAAGAACATGTAACCTAATTTTATTCAGAAGTTTGTTTTCTCTTTTCTGTACCTGAACCTGTAGGAAACTAGACCTTTTTGGAACCTCTGGTGGAAAAAGCATTATTGGAATACTCATTAGTCTCACCTTTTAGTCTTAAAGACTAAGACCTTTAGTCTTATAAACAGTGTATCAGTGGGGCTGAGGCCAAAACAAGCATGGCATTGAGTTGGTAGTTGTTGAAATTGGCTACATGGGGGTTTGTTTTATGAATCTCTACTCATAGATGTCTGAAATTTTCCATAATAAAATACGTAAAATAATAATGGGTTGCATTACAGCCCATCCCAAATAAAATAGTTTCTTTTGAAAGTAGGAAAATTTAAACATAGCAGGTTGAAAAAAATCCTAGCTCCAAATTCTTTGAAACTGAGATGAAAATTCTGGATGGTCTCCAGAGTGGGGGTTACTTTCCTGGAAGCCTTTCTCTTCCTCTGCTTCCTTCTTCCTTCCAGCCCATTATGTTCTGTAGAAGGAATGTTGCAGAGTAGTAAGGAAAATGTGACTTTGGCTCTTGGTCCCTTCTTGTTCTCACTGTTTACTGTTTCTTCTTTGGACTTTTTAGTTCCTAGAATCTGACTTCTCCAAGTATTGCAGGCAATGGTGACTGAGAATTATGAAGCTTTAGGGGTCTTCAGAGGAGAAAACCTGTAGCTATTTCTGAACATTTATATATGTACCCACATAGTAGCAGGTTTGTATTTAGAGGAAAGAAACCCTAAAAGTGTGAAACCCCCACTCTATTCTCATGCATCCTGCTTGTGAACTCTGACCATTCCCAGGGGTACTGAGGAGTTCTGGAGGGCTGTGGTGACATTCCAAAAATCCAGGAATGCAGAGAATTTCCATTTTAGTAAAGGAATAAAATGGGCATTTGAAGATGAAATGTAATATAGTATCTGCTTATAAAATGCTAAATGT